GTTAATAGGAATTACAAAAACTTGCATGCCAGGTGATACCGTTCAAATACTGAACAGCCTGATACCTGCTTCTAAGAAGTGTCTGTCTATTTCTCATAAGGTGATCCCATACACATTGGACATAAGTGGATGGTCTTGTTGGAAGACTGCAGCATTTTTCTTTCTTTTTTTAAATTTTTTTTTTTTACTTTATTTACATGAATCTGTGTGTGACTTGAAACGAAGTGGTTATTGCAATGAAGTCACAGAAAGCATTTCAGAAATGTTATTTAATTAAGCCTTTGTGCCTCAGGGTACTTGGGCACCTAATTTCCTCAAATTCATTCAAATGGTGAACTTCCCACGTCTCCAATCCTCAATGCGACCCAATCGTATTCTGCCTTGAACAATATAGATTACTGATTACTGTGTGTGCTCTAATGTTCAGTTTCAGATCTATTAAAGCTGTTTATGGAGCAGTTTTTCTTTCTCTTTCTGTGGCTAGTTCAAGCAGGAGACAATACATTTAAAACTGAAAGATAATTATAAGTTTGATTATTTGTCACAAATGTTTTCAGCTTGCCACTCTGATTTACTGAGAATCATTTCATGGCAAGCAAGAAAAGAAACCTCGAAATGCATATCTTCATAATTTTTAACGATCTGTACATGTTATCCATTGCTGTGTAGTAAATGTCAGTGTTAAGCACATTTACCGAAAATGTCAAGCTGTAGCTTTGAAGTGGACAAACAGTGTGAACTGGGTCAAGAATCCATGTGAGACTCTGCAGTCTGAATTTTGCATAAACTGAAATATGTTGCAAGGAGAATTGCCAGAAAGAAAATCTGGGACACTGGTTTAATTATTATCCCCCAACTCGCTGCATTTAAAGTTTCTTCATGCTACAATCAAGTTGGATGGGGCATTTCAAAGAATATTTTTTTTTGTTATGTCATACTACTTGTTGCGAATCTATGCATTTTTTTTTTCATTTTTCACATTTAGTGACATTTTTGTCAATGACCATATTACGATTAGACAGTGAATTGACAATGTTGGTTGTCGATCAAACATGTGCTTTGTTATATGTCCTTATAGGCTTTATTTTTGCATTGCATGTGCATTCATATCTAGAAGTAAGTTATGTGTGCCATCATGCTGAATTGAGCCAAGGGGAATTGATGATACTGAGAGAGCATTTTTTTTTTTTTTTTGTCTTTTTCAGAAATAGGTATTTCTCGATATCGCGCGGGTGTGCACATAGGACAAAATGAATCCCATAAGCAAATGCCAGTGCTACTCTCCAGTATGCCGAGTCAAACCTTGCAACCCCCCGGTTGTCCCCTTCAAGGCTCCAGCGTACCTCCAAATCATTTCATTACTACACGTATTGCATCATCACCGTGCCCATTTTCACACATAAATCCAGACTTTTTAGTTTCGCAGCAAAGTCAGGCAGGGAGGGAAGAAGCGTCAGGAAGAATATCAATGTGTTTTGGCCCAATTTGGGAGCGATTAATCGGCTATTGAATCACAAGTATTCTGATTGCATTGCAATCTTGTGATACCTGTGACCTTGTCTCTTGACTTCTTCAAGTTGGAGGCTGTTCCAGTTGGTTATAACTTGAATGACATTATTTTCACAGACCCACGAGGCCAAACACTCCTTATTTGGATCGGCATCAAATTGTTCATCTCCGGAGACTCTCTTCTGTCTTTATTCTATGATGAATTCAGATGCTGTTTTCAAATCTTACAAAAACAAAAAAGCAATGCAACCACACTAAAAGATTTTCGGGGAAATTGGATGAGCATTTTTTTTTCCCTCAATCCTTTTCATTCATTCAGTAACGGAATACGCAACAATCAAACATGACATCTGAATAAGGGCTATCATGTACCAAAGAAATGTAGATGAAGCTGCAGGGGGAAATTCGGGAGGAATGTACGAGAAATGTAAATATGGTAGAGAAATATCAATAGCAAAGTAAAAAAGACAGACGTGTAAAAGAGAAGCGACGGCGGAGGAGGACAGAGAGCCGTTGTGTGGAGAGTGCTCGTTTTTGTTCTCTGTTCGAGATCAGATTTCATAAAGATTCACATGATTGCCTCATAACAAGGGGGACGCGGAGAGAAATGAAATGGAGAGATGAGGCGGAGAGGAGGGCAGAGCCACGATGAAAGTGATAAATAGTTGCTTGCTGTCCCTGTTGCGCAATACTTTGTTTGTCCGGTTTGTTTTTTTTTTTTCACCCTCCAATGAGCTTAACTTCTTTGATTATCCCAACTGTCATTTGGAAAGGAAAAAATAGAGACAATGGCAATGAGAGAAAGAGGATTTTCCATTTGTAAATCTCTGATTGGATGATGTTTTGTTGCTCCATATTCTTTCGACATTGCTTCCCAGACTTCACAGTTTCACCGTTGACTGACAAGAGAGAACCGTGACCTCATCACTCTTTGTATTAAGGATTGGCAGGAGACCAGACAGGGGCTCCCATGCTGCTGTGCGTGTGGCTTACTCTGTCTCTGCTGATTTACTGAATGTCTGAGTGAGAATGACTGGAACATACCAGCCCTCATTGCATTTCAAATATTACACTCACGTCATATTACTTCAGTGGCTGAGAAGCACGTCTTTCCTCACCTGGCTGTTTCGACCCGATTCCCTTTTTCAATTGACTTCATTCCGTTAGCCTTACTTTGTGTTCGCTCAAGTGATTCGTACACCTGACACAGTGCCATTCCCAAGCGTGGCAAATGTCATTTTAGTCGATTCCGAGTTTCCAGGAGTCGACAGAAGGGATCAGGTTTCATGAGGATTAGAGAAGCGTGGTGGCTTGAGAGTCAGTCTCACCATTTTTATTTTATATTTGTGTTGCTGTTCTAGGGTACAGGCTGTTTATTGCAAATTGAGAACAGAACTCTAAATGGGTAACTATTTCTGAAAAGGAGGAAACAGCATTAGTGAATGGTTGACTGGCTGAGTGGGTTAAAAATAGACACTGAGTCAAATGGCAAAATTGAAAAAAGCAGCGCTGTGACATTGCCTCCAATTAGTTGGCATCAGCAGAATTTGAGTGTCTTTCATTAGAAAGTCTTCTGACCTATAAAACACTCGAGAAGCTCATCAAACTCACTGCCACGTTTGATTGCTCTGTCAAAAATAGACAAGGTGCTTCATATTATGTATTTATTTATTTAGGTATTATTTCGAGTCAGTGGCCCGGTGGTTGACTGGTTAGCACGTCTGCCTTATCGTGCAGAAATACCGGGCTCGAGTCTGGCTTCGAGACCTTCCTGTGTGGTATTTGCATGTTCTCCCCGTGCCTGCGTGGGTTTTCTCCGGGTACTCCGGTTTCCTCCTACATTCCAAAAACATACGTGGCAAGTTGATGAAACACTCTAAATTGTCCCTAGGTGTGAGTGTGAGCGCGAATGGTTGTTTGTCTATGTGTGCTCTGCGATTGGCTTGCAAACCAGTTCAGGGTGTACCCCTCCTACTGCCCGATGACAGCTAGGATAGGCTCCAGCACGCCCACGACCCTCGTGAGGATAAACGGATTCGAAAATGGATGGATGGATATTTCAAGTCACAGAGCAGAGATCTGTGAAACTTTTACTCACAATATTTATGAGGCATTAACTTTTTTATAGGGCACTCATAACAATATTTAGAAATGCAGAATTTAAACCACAAGGTAACTGAACGTAAGTATGATTCAACTGGCTCGTGTCCATTTTGAACACCCGAGTTACGTAATATGGTCCGTTATCAGATCAAGGGATACAACACGTATTGACCCTAAAGCTAAGGCGGCTACAATGGTGAGGCAGCTGTCAAATTACCGGGATGGCAATTATTACGTGACCATGTGCCATCAGGCGGAGGAGGGCCTTTTTCTGACTCTCACCTTATTATGTGCCTCGACGCAACCAAGCAACAAGTGCGAAGTTTCTGCAGCATAGATGTAAAGGAAATGGCCACAGCAGAAGAATAGAAGAACAGAATGGATGGAACGATTTTAATGAGGAAGGCATCACATAGTGAGATGAAATGTTGAAAGCGGCACAAAGGGATGAGCTACAGAAAAAGGCTCAAGGAAGATGACTAAATCCACGGCCACCATGGTTCTTCTGAGACAGCTCCCCAAAAATCATTTTGCTTGTCAAATTTTATGTCCTGCACGTTTGTTTCTGGTTAAATGCTGTTTGCCAGTAAATTCCCACCCGGAGGCAAAGGGCAACTTAAATCCTTTTTCAATTAGATACTTAACATCATTCCTTATTAAATTCAGTGCTCTTCCATACAAAATGTTTCCCCTTCAGAGAGGGTTAGAGCCTGTCCCTGCCAGCATTGGATGAAGGGTAGAAGATTGTACGTGCATGTCACATCAAGAGATCTCGAAAAGGATGACGCATTATTTTCTTTGATTCGCTGTGATTTAAAACCCCATTTTACAGTATAATTTAGAATAGTGATGGTGGTCTTCTCTGTCACCTCCAACATCATCAATATATTTTGAAATGATTTGTTTCCAATGTGTCCAAACTGCATCAAATTCAACTCTGGGATGTCGAGCCAAAATGATGGCATCCGTTCTCAGTATGCTGCAACACCGTTTTACACAATTGTAACTGCCAAACTACAACCACAATCATAAATTGACTCTGAATTGATTACAGTACCCGCATCTGTGACGATCACAATTTGAGCATCATTTTGATACTGCTCTTATGTTGGCTTGTGTGCATTTTTACAGTCATAATGTTGAGAACGATTCATGCGTATAAGTGTAAAAAGAAAGGAGGCCAATTGAAAATCGAAACTGTTGCTGACCTTTTTATGGCTGGGTGGATATCATTTTGAACAACATAGAGTCACTGTCCAGTACGTTTGGAGAATGCCTGTGTTCGTGTTGGGTCCAACACTTGCACAGTTGTCTCTTCGGATAGTCCACAGAATACATCAGGTCCTGTTTATTTACTTACTGTCGTATTTTGCCCGTGTTTATTTCAGGTGCAGGAGTGGCTATGCCTGAACTGTCAGATGCAGAGAGCGTTGGGGATGGATATGACCACACCACGATCCAAGAGTCAACAACAGATAAACTCTCCTTCCCACGCTGCCAAACCAGAACCCAAATCTGACGCTTCTTCTCAGCCTGCCCCTCAGATGCAGACAACTCCTCAGACTCGGCCAGCACAGACGCATCCCGCTTCAGGCCCTTCGAAACAGACTGGTCCAGCTGGCCCAGGTCAGCCACCGACAAAGTTGCCTCCGGGGGCAGTGCCTCTCCCTGGCATGGCCAAAGCACCGTCCCAGCCCGATTTGTCCCGAAACTCGCCTGCCCACCAACCCCACCACCCCCGCCAGGACCAGACGCGCAGCGCAGGCAGCTCTCCTTCACGACAGCCTCCACCTCCTGAGCAGACCTTTGGGAAATTGTTTGGCTTTGGTGCTTCTCTACTTAACCAAGCCAGTACACTGATATCTGAGACCACTCAGCCCCAACAACCACCCCCAAAACAGGCCCCTAAACCAGGGGGACCCCACGGTCCAGGACCTGGGACACCTAAACACTCAGGACCTCCATCTGCACAACAAGGGTCTCGACCTCCTCCTCAGCAGCAATCTGCGTCTTCAGATTACTCCAAACCCAAAGCTTGTTGTCCTCTTTGCAAGACGGCCCTTAACCTCGGCAACGCAAGTGAACAACCCAACTATAACACCTGTACCCAGTGCCACTCCAAAGTGTGCAACAAGTGCGGATTCAACCCCACTCCACACCTAGTCGAGGTAAGGTCCTGAAACGACTAGTGTGCATTTAGAGCAGCATACTGCAGATTGTTCATTTCTTTTTTTTCTATTTCATGATCAGTAGATAAGCTTCCGTTAGAAATGCTGTGTCATGTCCTTGCCCAGGGGGTCATGTGGTTATGAATTTGTGTCTGTCTGTCGTCTGTGAGAAAATGTCAAAATTCCTGTGTGGATGACGAAGCATTTGGCTTCAGGTGCCGTAAAATGCCATCAATGGCTGATTTTCACCTCCCTTTGCTTCGGCTGGTTTTCGTGCTCCATCATTGGGTCTTTTGTGGAATTTGCTGAATAATGTTTCAGGATGTGTGAGAGAGCCGTTCATTTTTTTTTAACCAATTTGGTTTGGTATTTGGTAAGATTGAAGCAATCAGATGAAATGTACGAAGTATAACGTACAGGCAATTGTGAAAAAAAAAACACTTCTCTAAAACTCAGAGGTGGGATTCATTAGTGTATGTTGTGATAACTTGACTCGTACTGTAGCAGATGGAAAAAGTTCTGGAAATAATTTCAAGAAAAAAGCGGAAACCCTGATTATGTGTTTTTACCAGTCCAATACCGTGGCAGGGGTCCAATTGGTAGGATATGAGATGTGCATAGACTTCCAGAGTTGGGCTTCAACAAGTCTAATTATGCAAATAAATTCCAATTGAATGACAGAAATAATTACAGGCATTCTGCAAGGCATTGTTTTTTTTTTGTTTTTTGTTTTTTTTTAAACTTGTCTTCCTAGATGTCTGGTTGTCACAAGCGCCAGTACAGGCCATTCATAGATCGCTATGGAAACAGCGAGCTGGTTTGTTTTTCCAGACATCCCTTTCATGCTTCACTGTTTATGGAGCTAACAATCTACCAAACTTTGAGATGACTTTTACTCTGTTATTATGTGCATTGTTTTTCTGCCCCATTTGCTATATTCCAAAGCTCATTCCAGAAAAAGGTACATTATTTGACAGAGTCGTGAACACATTTTGGTTTTGGTCCAAGCAAACTGGCAGGCAGCATGTTCCTGAGTGTGTGAATAAGATGAGGTTTGCAATTTTGAATCCAGCTTGATTTCCACGGTGTGTTTGACACAGTCCTCATCCTCTTCCAAACTCTGCAAACTTGACTCTTCTGTGTCTTGGCGTCATTTCCCCACAACTGCATGAAGAAATCATCTGCCTGTCTCACCAGGGTTTTTGAAAGTACTTTATTCTTGCACCCTACCACTAGGGGAACCTTGTCTTGCTCAGATGTCTCAAGTAACCCCATCACCATTCATTTGCACATCCGCCGGCATGGACTTTGTTTATTCATGATTTGAATGTGAGATGAACATCAAATTTCTCGAGGCTTAGTATAACTCATCGTGTTTGCCATGGGCGTTTTCTTAGTGTTTCTGCAAAGACAAAAGACTTTAGAAACAGTTGCAACAACAGACTGCAGTATTAGTTCTGGCCGTATTATGATGCATCCCGTTTTGATTTGAACAAAGTCATGATGTAAATTTTCAGCTACTGGTGTGAAGTACTTTGCTGAGTGAACTTCCCCTTCGGCATCATACATTGTCCGATTAAATGTAAAATGTAATCACAATAAAAGTAGTACAGCAACACAAATGTTTTGTACAGCACAAATATTGACACCAATATAGTTTCTTCACAAGTGACAACATCCATAACTCATCCTCAAACGTAGCTGTTGTCGCCGCTTTCTAATCTGTGACCAGACAATGAGCGCCGGCGTCGGTGTGAAAACGAGCGGAGGAGGAGAGAAGTGATCGAGGTGATAAATGGAGAGAGGAGAGTGAAAATCGGAGATAATGAGTACGCGGACGCCAACTTTGTTGTGTTGCAAAGCAGCCCTCATAAATTAGCGCCCAAAAAGTCATGGGCGGCTCATGTATGAGATGTGCTTGTGTTGGGAGCCTCTGCTCCACGATCATGCCTCTCAAGGAGATTGAGCAACCTTGTCTCGCCCCCCCTCGAGTTTACAGTGCACCGCATGCATCTTCATCTCTTACAGGAACAAAGGGGAGCATATGCAGCAAAGTGAATGCTAAACTTTGGCTTGGTCTTGAATGTAAATATATGAAAATGTGCTTTCAACATAATTTGTCATGTGCAAGTTGACCTGAGTGTTTCGCTACAACATTATTCGTCCATATTTGTGCACAGATACGATGCGGTCATCGCTTTTAAGATATACACTCGGAGGCATAAGCACTTGAAACATCATTAGTAAAAATATGGAATTTTTTTTCACGGAGCAGTCGAAAATGTGTGGAGAAACATAGCCCATCAATTATTCAATGAGGGAGAATATTATAAATAGTTCATGCAGTGTAGAGCAGCGAGAGAGCTGTGTTTGATTTCTCGTGCCACATAAGGTCAATATGTTCGTGTGTGCGCACATGCGTGAGGAGAGAACTAGTTTCTTCTTCTGACATGGATAAACATGAGAATTAAGAAATTAGATTGCATACCAGCACATCCGTGACCCTCATGAGGATGTGCACTGTAGAAAACAAAAAGTCAACATGCCGTTTGAGAACTTATATTTGCGACATCCTATTAGGTGTTGAGATAAGAAAACCTTGATTTGTCTCACAATGGAGAAATTATGAAAGGGAGAATTTGCCTCAAATACATATTTGTTCCCCTGACAGCACATTGGAGATTCATCTGTCCTTCCATCCATTTTCTACACTGCTTATCGTGCTCAAGGTCGCTGGAGTCTATTCCAGTTGACTTTGGGCGAATGGCCAACTACAGGCTGGACTGGTCGCAAGTCAGCGACAGACGTTAACTTGACAAGTCTCCTTAGCATCTTGAAGCACTCGCTTTAAAGCGAACACAAATGAGTGACATTATCCTTTTCAGCACGGTCAACTAATGTGTGTGACGTGACCACGTTCAGTTGTGGTCTTTCCTTGTCGTCTTCTCAGTCCAGTTCACTGAAGGGCTCTTCTACAATCTCATTCTTTAATATGCTCAGCTGTGACAAAGCAATTATAGTCCGTACAAGGGGCACTTTTTATCATTTGCAACACCATCTGCAAGATCTACGCTTCAGCTCATTTTGTGTGTGCCTGGAACTCAGGATGCAGTAAAACGCTGAATGTTAAGCACATGATGAAATGTAAAGAGGAAACGTATATAAAACTATGATGTGGAAGAAAATGCACCCTTCAAACACAATATTGATGTCATTTACATTTCGACGACAATCGGCACTGTTTTCTCAGCTAATGATGTGTTCTATGCACCCATATTGTTACATAGCAACCCTAATCCTTTCATCCATTTAGCAATTTCTCCAGTCACGATTACAAATATCCACAGACCTCAGTAGCCTTGGATATGCACGGCACATATTTGTACATATATTACCACTGCAGGAACGCAGCAGCCACTCTCGCACAGGAGCAGGTATTGATGAACATGTCATTCTACTTCTCAAACATTGCTGGAAGTGTTTTCTGAAGGTTGGCATCGGCCTGCATCTCCCCCAGGAGTTCCTTCCAAAGCCAGATGGCTGACGGCATCTCGCATCCAAGCCTGCCGCGCGCAGCCTGGCTGCTCCCCAAGTGACGATGGTACACTGTCAGCAATTCAAACAGCTATCCATCCCCGGTCAGCTGCTTTTAATACTTCTAATATCCCTTTGTGCTGCTTGTTATGCAAGCCGCCGTGCGCACAGATCACGTCTGCTGCTGTCATTAAAAAAAAAAAAAAAAAAGCCGCATACATTTGAAGAATACCTACGGTCTGAAATGAATGAATTCTAGCGGTGCCGTACATGAATTTTAATTCATATTTCTTTGTTTTGAGTTGCTGATGCTTAGTCAATAATTGTCGACATTTTCCTACGTTACCATACAGCGATGTAAATGAGGAAAAACTTTCCCTTTTGCTGTACTCTTGACTGCGTTGCTCTCGTTGTTCCCCTCCCTTGCCTCTCTCTCAATTGTCGACATATACACATGCACTCACATCCTCTTCCTTTCATCACTCTTCTCCCTCCAAATGCATCCCTTACTTGAAGACTACTTTCAGATGACATTGATTGAGTTGGCAATTACTTGCGGTTGTCTTGCTCTCTGTTGACATTGCAACATAGATGCTTAGCCCTCTCTTGTTCCAGTGTGTGTGGCATTTGTCTTATTTCTTTATTTATTTTTAGCAGCAACAGCAGGGAGAGCATTTTAAAACCTCTGCACATAATACGATAAAATTCCAGGAGGTGATTTGGATATACAGTAATAGAAAAAAAATAGAGGCAGTTAGTATAATGTATGTGTGTGAGTTGTGTGAGTTGCGGGAGGTGGGGCGGGGGGGCATTTTGGATGAAAGAGCTAATCTTTCTAATCTGCGTTGAGGGAGCGCAGCGATCCCCACAAGTACAGTGCTTAACCCTCCCCTACACAACATTGTAATGCTCCACCTACACAAATAAGTGCCATTTGAGAATAGTGTGCCTTGTATGATTACACTAATACAAAGTCTTGTAAATATGCTCTAGTAGAGCAGATTGGAATGGCAAAGCAAAAGTTAAGTATAACTCTTGCATTCCAGACTAACAGGACAATGCTAAAATGGCTCCACACGCTATGTTTAATCCACAGAGGACTCGAGGACAGAATTCGTCGTGTGCCTCAGCTGTAGACAGGGAGTGGCATGACGTGGTGTCGAGCAGTGACTGTTTCCTGAATATGTGGCAACAAGCACAGACAGAATGCTGGTTTTCTCTTTGGGATGACGATCGCTCTCCGTTCTTGGATCTTGGCGGTTGGCAACTGAAGTTACATTGATTTCATCGAAATCGCTGTAGCTGAATATCACGCTGCAGCGCTTCAAAGCGTAATAAGATGAATGACAAAAACAGTAATAATATATGGTACAGTAATACTATTATATAACATTTAAAATGATCGACGAGACTCTGTAATAATAATAATTCAAACTATTTCAGTGGCTTTATTGTTTTGCCTTCTT